CGGACCCCAGGGGGCGCCCTTGATGACCTTGGCGTGCGGTCAGTTTGGTACAGCTGGGAATATTAGCTGTGCCTCTGGAGGGCGAGCTTGAGCTAGGGGGCTTTCGACCGTCCTTGTCTAGTAATCACACTTCTGGTGAAGTACACGGACTTCATCCCGAATGCGGCAGTTCGCACCCGCTGCTGCAGTATTGTGAGCATATTTCAGGCCATTAATGAAAGATTACTGAGGGGGTTTGGGCACGTTCTTAATCGCTCATTCGATGAGCTAGACTTTTCTATCCTTCGTCTCACATATTTGCGTACCACACATATCACTGTTCTTCGAGAGAATAGTGGTTCTTGGACTTTCGCCACTGTCTTATGGCGAGAGATTAGGTCAAACCTTCCAAGTTCGCTAACCAAGAGAGGCGCAATCCACAACATTATCGATGTCGGCCAATTCAAGCACTATTTTAATAGTTGCATCAAGTACATTACACATCGTTACTGTCAACCGCCACCGCCTCCAGGTTTTTATCACAAGCGAAAACTATGCCTACACTTCCCCCTTACCCATATGAAAACCAAATGCTATCTTGCTGAGGCTCATCCATTTTGGGCCTTGCGTACCTATCCTTGTGTTCTTAATTGTCGGATTTCTCAGTACATTAACAGACATTACCTTTTGCTTCTGAATATACTGAACTACTATACTTCTGAATTTTTCTGGAGGCGTATTACAACTTAAGTAACTCTTTCACTCGCATACTCGGAATTTTGTATTGGTTGCTTTTTAACATAGCTTAAGAATTTTATTTGTTTCGAAAAGCTGGTCATATGAGTTTGCTAGTTGCATATACTGTGAGCGGTTTTAGGTTATTCGCATAGTTTTACTTGTCTTCAGGTATTTTTCTTACAAGAAAACATCTAAGCGATCATAAGTCCTAAGGAGCATCTTAATTTTCTCCAAAACTCTTTCTTATCTCCAACAGAGTTTTTTATTGGTAGCTAACTGAACTTTCTAAAATTCCGGCTGCTGATTTTGGAACTATCTTGTTAGAAATGATATCCATCGGTTCATGATGTTCATCGGTTCGATCCACATTCAACTTTAAGATTTGCAACAGCTTTTCTCCCAGCCTAATCAGCGGGCATTATTTTCAAGGAATTTTACCATTTCTGAATTAACTTATTTTTTAGACATGGCCAGCTTCGGCACTTACGTAACGAACTTCGTCAAAACTGCCTTTTATACTATTCTTCCAAACAAAGTTGATGAATACTCCTATGAACATTATATTTCGGAATACTTTACGTAAGTTAATATTCAAATAAGTCAACCCCTGCAGGCTTGAAAAGGTTCAAACCTTATATAGCTGCTTCTTTTTCTACAAAGTGGCCAACCACTATGACATGATTTACGTGCCTCCTCCAGCTTCGCTTGATACTCTTTCTAAGGATAGGCGTGTTTACAGGTAAGATGGTCAACTTACCCTTTTTCACAAAATTCAGCCTTTTCCGTTTTCAGGGAGATGTCAAGGTGGGGTTGGAATTCTTCAAACATTATGCTGATGTGATTGCTATTCTTGCTGACATCAACTCCAAGCTAGACCGTGTTTGGCTAGAAAAAATAACAGGTCTCTGTCGACGCTATTCGGCCTGGACGGCAGCGCATGTGGCAGCCTCCTTAAATTTTTTACCGGCTTTTAAGGATCAACGCATCATCAGGTTACTATTTTTGTGTGTTCATTTCCTGTTTTGCTTGTTGATGCATGTGGGGACGAAGTGGCCAGTTAAGAACGTGGATATTTTTAATCAGCTAACCTTGATAACTTGATAAGATTGAAGCGTTCAGTTTTTATACCTTTCAGTAGTTTTCCAGGAACTTCGCTTTCGTTTGGAAGTTTTTATGTTTTTGTTTGCTGCTATGTGACCGCATACAAATGTTTTAGACAGAGGTCTAAAGCCCACAGTCCCCCTGCCCATAATCCCCATTTTCTTCTCGTATAAGAATCATACCCAAACACAGGTAGTGCACCGCCCGAGGCTCGAACACGCGACCTGTTGATTATAAGTCTGACGCTCCAACTCATTGGGACACGGGCTAGTTGTCTTGGG